CTAGCATCCATTGCAAGTCAGATAAGCGTGAAGAGCAAGAGCAGGGTGATGGTCAGCAAGCGACATGGTAGATGTGACGCGGACTCGCCGAAGGGCGCTTACTGATGCGGCCCGGTCATCCGCACACGTGGGCGTGGCGGGACGCGTCAGTCCGTGGCGCGTGGGCGCTTACCGCACCTTGTCCTCGTACTCCCCTCGCTCCTGCACATCTGCCCCAATCTCCATCACCATGGCCGGCGACAAGGACACCCTCCTCTCTATGGGCTTTGACGCGGCAAGAGTCAGCTGTGCGTACCTCATGCTATGCGACCCATCGTTCGTGCATTGACGAAAACCCTCTCATCGCCGCGTGTTCCACCTGTGCAGGGGCCCTGAAAGCGACGGGGAACTCTGGGCTGCAGCCCGCGATGGATCATATTCTGGCGCATGAGGGCGAGGCTGTGCCCGATTTGGGCGCAGTGACGGAGCAGGCGTCATCCCGCCCGAGCGATGCGATGGACGTCGATGAAGACGACACGGACGCGCTGCGTGCTGCTGGCATCAATGTGGATACGGCGGAAGCGAAGGTACGTTAATCAACTTGCTCTATATGGGATGAGGGCTGACACTGCTTGCCAGAGCATCAAATGCTCGCTCTGTGGCAAGGTCTTTAAGAATACGGCACTTGCGAACTACCACGCCGAGAAGAGCGGGCACGATCAGTTCGAAGAATCTACAGAGGAGGTGTGTATGCGAGTTGACTGTACAACATGATGTGCGGCTAAGCTTTATGCACAGGTGAAGCCCTTGACGGAGGAGGAGAGGGCGCAGCGGCTCGAGGAGCTCCGGCAGAAGATGGCAATCAAGCGCGCGGCGAAGGCGAAGGAGCAAGAGAAGGAGGACAAAGCCAACGAAGCCATCCGCCGCAAGACAGGGAAGGCAAGGGACCGTTGCTTTCTCGCCCGTGCCATCCGCTCACCTGTCTGCAGGATCTCAACAAAATCAAGGAAGACCTGAAGCTTAAGGAAGCGCAGAAGGAGGCAGAGGCGAAGAAGCGAGGTGCGTTCCCGCTCATTATACGCCCACCATGTCGTCTCATTCCGGTGCAGAAAAGCTCGAGGACGCGAAGGCGCGCGCGGCCATCAAGGCGCAGATTGAGGCGGACAAGAAGGCGCGTGCGGAGAAGGCCGCGCGGGAGAAAGCGCTGCGCGAGGGGAGGCCTATCGTGGACGCGCCTTCGGCTAGTCCCTCGGCGAAGCCGGCGGCGGCGGCGCAGGCTGGTGTCGCTGGGAAGGACTACAAGGACACGAGGCTGCAGATCAGGATGTCGACGGGTGGACAGTATACGACGACGCTGCCCAGCGATTCACGTAAGTTGCCGTGCGGCATGGAGAGGATCGTAACATGCTGATGCGTCGATAGCGTTGCGCGCTGTCGCTGAATTCGTGGCGGCGCAGACCCTCGATGTGCATGTCGACACCGTCACGTTTACGCAGACATTCCCGAGGTGAGTGGAGGTGGGTGTGTAGCGCAAGATATGTGGCTGACATGATCTCAGGAAACAATTCTCCGCAGCCGAGATGTCAAAGTCGTTGCGAGAGCTCGGGCTGACCCCTTCGGCGGTGAGTGGGCGATTGGTGGTAAGTCGGATGTACTGACGGTTTCCGCTGCAGGTTCTCATCGCGACACCATGAGGGCGCAGCTACACTGTATAGCGATACTGTACACTACATAATTGACACACTGCACCGAAATGTAGCTTTGGAGCTGCTTTGTTGTCGGGATTTTTCTCTGTTGTAGGTCCAGCACGTGGCTTGCCAGCTGCAGTCACAATCGCGTCGCGTCTTGTCACGCACTTCATTTCATCAGCTCCCAACTGCTCAGGACGGTCGACAGCGTACAGACCGTCCGGACACACCTTGTCTTTTACTCTCACCATCACCGGTCATTGTTACCATGGCCCCGCCGAAGCTATATACTCGCAGAAGCACTGCGACATCGCAAAGCAGCGTCAGAGTCAGCCAGAATGCGACCGCCAGTCAGAACACGAACCGCGACAAGAGGCCCGTTGGGGAGACTCACAAGAGGCCGAGCGAGGAGGCTCAGCTCGCAGACAATGGCGTTGTGCATATGAAGAAGAAGCGGCGGATCGAGGTCGAGGTCGTTAAGGATGGTGCGCACACGCCAGTCCCGCAAGGCCACAGGCGCCCAGATGATTTGCAGGCGAAGGATTCTGCTGCTAAGGTGCGATATAACTCTCATATACTGAAGTATGGAAGCTGAACTGTTGTAGCCGTCTTCTGCAAAGCCAACGCGTGTACCGGAGGAATCGCGTGCAGTAGAGAAACCGCACACGAACGGCATTCCCAAACATGCACCCCCTGCGCCTGCCCCCCGCGTGCGCAGGACACAAACATCTCCGCCCAAGGCCGTCCAGACATCTGTTACCCAGTTGAAGGATGGTCCCTCGAAGGCCTCTCGCTCCGCGACACCCTCTCCCACCAAGGTGGACGCCCGTATGAACGTGGATGCCCTATGAACGTGGACACCCACCCACCAGCCCCAAGCGATCGCCGTCTAAAGCACCCACAGCGCGGCCCAAGACTTTAGCGCGTGATCTCTCCTCGCTCTTTTCTGCATGCCTACCTTCACCTCGCAACCGCCATCCACTTCGCCGTCCCCGACCAGGAAGCTGTCCAAGCGCATGCTGGGCAGATCCAAGACGGAGTCTTCCATATCGTCCACGACGCACGCTAGTATCTTTGACTCGCCCTCTAGCAGCAGCAAGGTTCTGAACGCTGCTGACTCGTTGCCCAACATATCCGCTTCCCCTGCCCCTTCTCCTCAAGACGGCAAACGGTACAGGATACCTCATCTCCGCCCTCCTCCCCTTCAAGACCCGGGCATAGGGACCATGCACACCCGCCACCACACCTGGCAAGACCATCCGCACATATGCCGGCGCCTCCCGCTCCTTCCTTATGGCCATCCCCCTCGCCGCCGCCAACGACCCTTCGCAGAACCCGCCGGCATACCCCTCGACCTCTCCTCCCTCGCCGAACCGCCACCAGAGGAAGCACCGGAAAGCGTGCCATACGCGACCCTCCACGCGATGTACCTCCCCTCTTCCGACGACGACAACATGATGAACCCGCTGCTCAAGTCGATCACTGACCTCCGGTCGCGCGGCGAGGCGCGGCGCTGGGCGGACGAGGCGGGGTACCTGCTCGAGGGCCTGGAGGCGGGCGCGGCGATGGGGCTGCGCCGTGCGAGCGCGCTGATATTGCGAAGAAGCTTGCTGTGGACGATGAGTTTTGGGAGAAGGCACGAAGGCGGATGACTTTTTCGGCACCGTCTGGGCACGGTTTGTCGCTGCTGGTGCAGGTACGGCGGCGCGAGGATGCGGATGCGCTGTTAGACTCGCTGTTGGTGTCGTTTGTCGCGCTGGTCAGCCGGGATGGGCAGGCGCTGCCGATCTGGCGGGCTATGCTGGATTTTGCGAGGCCCTTTTCCGGGTCATGGCGCGCTCGCAGAAGTTTGACGTTCTGAGCGATGGGCCTACACCCGCCACGTACGTCTGAGCAAGAAGGAGAAGGCATTCGTATGTGACGTCGTTACTGAAGATGATGGGCTGATGTCTTGCAGGCTGTCTCTGTAAAGGAACCTTGGGCCTCACTTGGCCAAGATCTGCTCGCCCGACGCGAGTTCGTCATTCTTTGATCGTTCATATACTGAGCCGACTCGGCCATCCCGTCTACCTCATTCCCGTGTCATGATGTCGTCACTCTATCCGTCATGTCTGTCTACCAGCAACCAGACTCGTTCGCGGCCGATACACCTACCGTCTCAGCAACGCACTGTCCCTCCTCGACTCTTTCCTCCTCGGACAATGGAACTCATCAGAGCCATCGGCGCCCGACGTCCTGGACGGGGAAGACTGGCTAGCTCCGCACTCCTGGGCCTGCTCCAAATAACACCTCCCAAGGGAAAGGCAAAGCCAGAGCGGACGTCATATCCGACACCACCACAGCCCTCCCCAATCTCGCGCTGCGCATCTGACTACCTTGACCATGGGTCAAGCCGTGGTGCCGGCGCGTCGAGCGTGCCGGCGGGGTGCGGAAGCTGGGCGCGCTCCTGCGCGCGTGCGCGGATTCGAGCGCTACGGACAGGACGGCGTGGGCGAGCCGACAAGCCAGGCATGCGATCAAGATGGAGAACATGCACTCGGTGAAGGCGGAAGCGGACGACGAGGTTGTGACCCAGCGGTGAAAGACCCCGACGACGACGGTCTTCAGGACACGCTATACATCACACTGCTCTCTTGACGAACCTGGCGCAGGAGCTCGGAGCCTGCGACGGCATGGATGGTGAGTAGAATCCATCGCGAGGAGGATAAACTGACGCATCTGTCCAGATGATGTGATCGACACCCTTCTCCGCTGCATGCAGCGAGCTCTTCTGCGTGTCTGGATAGCATCAGCGATCCGCTGGAAGCGCCAGAGACCGTGGCTGCACGCGAAGCGGAACGTATCTACGTACCCGGACACCTTGCGATCCTGCTGGGCATGTTGATGCGGGACAGCGAGAGTGTGCGAGATGCGGTGCTTCGTCGTCGTCAACCAGCAACGAGCGAGGGCTCAAAAGGAGAGTAGCGGCCTCAAAGTTGAAGAGGCGTCGACATCGAGGAGGTGGAGCGGCGACGGGGTAGACCGTCTTGCGGACGACGCGAAAGCTTTCGTGCGCACTGGGGCTTCACATAGGTGCCGCGCAGGACGGTAGGAGTGCAGCAGACGGAGAGGTCGCTGGGGAAGTGTTGGCTTACTATGAGACGCTATCTAGCGGGGATTTTCGATAGTGCTTCGTGTCTTTCAAAGTGATGGCGGTTCTGGGGAGTTGACTATCGCTGTATGAGTAGCTGATAGTGCCGTTGACCTAAGTATGAAGCTTTGAAGCCTCATGCGCGGAAACAACTGGGGCGCCACACCACGCCCTATGGCGCCTGCTGAGGGCCAGGGCGCAGCTGCCCCGTGGCCCAGCTGGTTAAGGCGTGTGACTGTTAAGTATGTTGAAGTGCATCACAAGATCGTGAGTTCGAGTCTCACCGGGGCAGGTTCTCGTCTCCGGTATGCTTGCATTTTTGGCCGTCAAAGTCGCAAACAACCATTCGCAGGAATCGCAGTGCGGAAAGCCAAGCAAGCAGGCACTCCCTCGTCAAAAATAATTTACTGTAGAAGGGGACGGCACGCCTGAAGGCATTTTGAGATCCAGGCTAGTCTCTCGTTGGTAGGAAGGATGAATGATGTACATTTATTTAGGTGAAGGAATATACATTAGTCCAATAGATAATCTGGGGCCGTTATGTCTCCGAAGCAGCCTCGCATGTTATGAACGCCAAGATGTCGATCGCATATTCGTAGGTGAGATAGGTGGCGAGGAGCTCGAGCTTGACCGTTGCATATATGCGTAGGACGTGTTCGGAGAATGTCCTGGAATCGTGTTCGGCGCAGGCTCGGGCAGCGTCAACGCAACAGTAGGGATCAGCTCGAAGACGTGCTGTGCGACGGCGCGCGCGCCACGACCACCGGCCACAGCCTCTGTGGAGTTCATGACGGCGTGGACCCGCGCCTCTTGGTCGTTATCCTCGTCGACTTTGGTTTCCCGCAGCTGGTTCGCAAGGTCCCCGGACCCCCGACCGTCCCAAATACAACGGACATCGTTGCCGGTGATGATCTGGCAGAGGCGTGCTGTCTCCACATGACGGATTTCGATGAAGCGCGAGTCGAATAGCAAGACATAGGGCGGGTGGAAGGCGACGCTTTGGGCCGTCCCTTCCCATTCGATCGTCTCGATGGCGCGACTAGGGTCGCCATGTTTATCCACGTAGAAGCCGAATTCTACAGAATCGTACATCAGCTCATGAGACATACAGCTTTGAACCAGGCTTACCGTCGTAGCATAACAAGAACTCGTTATCGCCGGACCGAAACATGCCCAAGGGACGACAAGCCTCACTACGCTTGATGACCTTCTCAACTCGTGGGTCCTCCCGCAACGGTATAGAGACACTCTGGTAGCTGAGGAACAACATCAATATACAATCAGCAGTCTCAACCGACACGCCTACTTGTCGATGTTCATGATCTCGAACCCCTTCGAGCACATGATAACAATGGTCGCCTTGAGGAACACCACGTCGTAGGCTTCAGACGGCAGGAAGAAGTCCTGGTTGAAAATTATTGAGCGCATCATCTTCTAGTTCCGAAAGAGTTGACCATACCTTGTATACTCGGAACCACTCTGACTTGGCAGACTTGAAGAGACGGTGTCCCAAGCCAGTCGCAGCGCGAGTCCTTTCACCGATCTTGTCGGCAACAGGTTCGAGTACGCGGAAGATGCTCTCGAGCTGCGCGATTGATAAGTCACCGAAGCAAGATCGTCTGAAGATACTTACACCTTTCTTCTTCATGTAGATAACCAGTGTGCGTCCTTGCTGCTTGCCCACGCAGAAGAACTGAACGGCACCCGCACCATTCAGCTTCTGGGGTGCCTGCGAGGATAATGGCGTGCATGGTTGACGGTACCAGCGCTTCAATGTGATAGGCGAAGAGGGACTGGTGCACTCAGGTCAGCGCGAGCGTTCGGAGCGACAATGTACCTTGTCCGCGAGCACGAGGAAGATGCCGAATCTTCAAGCATGCGCATTGGCTGACCATCTTGAGATGCAACACACGGCGCATGGCTGTGGACGGTCGTCAGTATCTACACGCTGTAGCCAGGGGACAAACATTTAGGGTCATGTCGGAAACCTATCCATACTCCTCGGCGCAGCCGATCGCAACGAGGCCTCGTCCGTCACTGGTGTCTGCGAGCGATGAGCGTCTATGCAGCAGCCACGAGCAGGCTTACTGAAGGGAATGGAGCACGTCACTCTGCCCGTAAAGCACTATCCTGATTGTAGGAAGGGGATGATGGCCCGGCGAGCACTGACGGCACGAGGAACGTGTCCGCGCTGAGCGTCTCCACTTCGAACACCTTGTTGGACTCCTGCACGACCTTCCGAATACCAAGCGCCTCTTCAAGCTTCTGCTTCCACTCGTTCCTCGCAGCGGCCGACTCAGCATACAGGATATACGGTCCACCGAGACGTCCATTGTGGTGAATGGTGCAAGGGTAGGCCATGCGCGAGTCGCCGGCACTTTCGGGTGACGGTACGCTGGGCGAGTTCTCGTGACCACCCCGCAAGTTGCGCAGTAGACCAGTACCGCGTTGAGTGGGTGGGTCATTGAGGTTCACTAAAGTGAGGAGGTCGAGAGGAATGGGCTGCACGCCAGGTCAGTCAATACAGGCGCAGCAAGAAGACCAGCAACATACTCGACGATAGACGTTGTACTTCGTGATGCCGTCTCTCTCCTTCGGCTTAGTCATGACCACTGGCACCGGCGTCGTCAGAGAGATACAATTTTACAGCAGCCGGACCACTCACGATAGTTGTCAAATAACAGAACAAACATATCCGGCCATCCGTTGAACTCAAAGCCCGTATCTGGCTGACGTAAGAGCTTGCCACTGTGTATGAGCACCCGGTTGTCCGCGAGCAGGTCCATATCCTACAGGCCGAGTTTCTTTAGCTCGAGTATTGAAACGAAGGCGAAGAACACGCACGACCAGTTCGCCTGGCTTGAACACAAGATTCGAATGGTAGCGCCAAAGCTCCACTTTCTGCTTCGCCGAAACGACACCAGGCTCCGTTTCTTTGCCGAGAGCCTTGATGAGGTCGAGGACGGATGGTATCTCGTCACGGTCCTCGTGCCCCGGCGGGGTCTCCTCCAGCACGTTCTTGAGCAGAAGCTCGTATCGGAGTAGACGAGGAATTGGACGATTGATGAAGTTCTTCATGTCAAGTCGATGAGCGTCGGGATGCCTAATGCATTGCTGTGACTGATTAGTACTGGGCAATGCAGTCAAGGACGATGCGCACCTCCACGAAAGTCTTGAACGCTAAGTTGTTCGCCATCTCGTCGTCGATACGGTACGCAGCCACTGGATAATTCGGTATATACTCGATGTATGCCTCGCGGAAATTGAGTACAGCGTCGAACATCAAGGCCGTAACTGAGCGGATTTCCGGATGTTGCTGGAGCTGGACAGCGTGGAGGGCATCCAAGAACTTCCGGTGGTGCTCATACAGCTCAGCATAGTTGTGGAACACGTCAATGATGAACTGATTCAAACGATGCGGCGCAATGATAGGCGGGTCCGCTGCCCTGAGAGGCTCGATGTACATCTGTGAGGTATGGTTAATGTGATATGACAAGCATATTGAGCTCGGGACTGACCACGCCGATGTTCTCCAAATCCTTCACGTACGCCATCTCACCCTTGATGAGTTCAAAGATGATGCTGAAAATTTGTGAGACCAGGTCATTTCAGGATGCTTCACACACTCACGCCTGACGTTTCTGCTCATCCTTGTGCAGCCGTAGACGATATTCTGTTGATACGAGATCGTGCCACTCCCATTTGCCGGGTGTACCCTTGCCCATAGCAGACTGGAAAGTTCGCAGCTGCGCGGCGGACTGCAGGTTCTTGAGCGCATCGATGGCGTTCTTGAGATAATCGGCGTCGGCGTTGCCCTCGGTGGTCTCGTTCTGAATGGCCTCCAGCAACACAGGATATTTCTGCAAGTGTTCCGAAGGCCGATTGAGGAAATGCTTGAGATCCAGTCGCGCCTGGTCTTCTCCGCGTGCACAGTTTCGCGCGCATTGCTAACTGACGTCAGGCATTTGCATGAGGCGAGTATGCTCACTGACCTCCAAAAACAGGCGTAGCTCCGGGTTGTTGTCCGTTTCGTCTTTGAGTCGCTTCTCTGCCATGGGATGATGTCCAATGTAGATCGGGTACGCGAGCTCGAATTCGGCGGCAGCAACGAGGAATATGTCCCCCACATACTGTATAACCGGGGTCTGTTCTCGTTGTCGGACGTGTAGGACTTCCAGTAGCCTTCGATTGCACTCGCGCAGGTCGAGGATGTTGTGGAAGACGTCGTCAATAAAGTCCTCCAGCTGGCGATGTGTCAGTACATAGCGCTCTCGCGACAGAGAACTGGCATACCATATCTGAAGCTATGACAGGCGGGTTCGCGTTCCGCAGTGGCTTGATGAACGCTGACTCCACGATGTCCAGATCTTGCAGATATGTTTCCTCCTTGGCGATGACTTTGTGGATGATACTGAAAGCATGTAATCAGTTGAAGGAGTGCAATAGCATTCCTCCAAGGTCACGCACGTTTGCCTGTTCCGTTCAGATTCTGGCAAGTTGTCAAGAAGTTCCGGAGCAAGACCGCCAATCCAGTCCCGCTCCACTGGCTCGACAGGTGCTTCCACGGTATCTTCCAGGAGTGCTACGATGCCACCCTGCCACGAGCTATGAGCCTTGTGTGTACATGATAAGAACGACAGAGAGGAACGCACCTTACGCGGACAACTGTACGCATAGCAAGGGCCTTCGGTCTCCCCACAGCCTGGCGTATAGCATCGCGCCAGCATTGTCACAAGGCCGGTGGGTAGCTCTTCCCGCTCACGACCCTCGCTCGCACCGTCCAAGTCATCCATGAACATGTATACGTCCTCTACTCCGTCCTGCAGTATCCTCGACCCCCACTCGACCTCATAGAAGAAGAGCTGGCTCTGCAGACTGCGTGCGACCTTTAGCGCCGCACGTCGGTCATTCGTAGAGATGCCATGAACGATGACGAGTTCGCGTTGGATCTGCGCTTGGATGGTGGAGACGATGTCTTTGCCGGTGAATGCGCTGGGGTACGGGATGCTACCCTTGACGTGCGTCCCTCGCGGGACTTTGTCACGCAGTTGAACCGCAAGGTGCGACAAAAGCGAGTAGTTCACGAAGCGCGATTCGTCGTCCTCATCCTCATCTTCCCAGTATTCCTCCTGAAGATCATCGTAGTGGTCTGCTCCATCTTCACGAGCTAGATCACGCAACATCTCGGACGGGCGACGAACGACGAGCCCGCCGGCAGCCGCATCGGTCTCGTATGTCGTATGATCACTGTAAGAGGCCGGCGCAGGTTCGGGGGACGGCATAATGTACGAA